ATTCAAAATAAGTATCAGACAAGAAAATATCAAATAGCTTATGAATGAACGTTAAGTATCAGAAGTATTATGTTATCTATAGTGGAGTTAAGGTTTCAGGGGGGGAGTTAGCAGTCTGAGGATAAGTAGGTTAATCTACTTTATGATTGTTAAATGAAACACCTTGTATTTTGCTCTGGGAAGTCTGGGGGGGAGGGGAGGGAAAGGGTGGGGGGAATATGGGGGGGAAGAAAATTTTTGTTTTTTGTAAAACTTTTCAATAAAAAAAACATAAAAATACATTATACAATAAACATTTATAAATAATCAATCATTTGAAGCGTTTGTTTCGTAATGGTCTTTCAAGTAATACAGTTATACTTATTCCCTTAAATCTTAACTTAATAGTTTCTTATTGCCTTTTTTCCCTCTTCTCTCTTCTACTCTCTAAGACTTCTGCTTTAATAATCTGTATATTATATTATTCTCTCTGTAGGTTTATTCGCCCATAAGGAAGTAATTATATGCACATTTGTACTTCTATTCTATCTGACTTCTAGTTATATTTCTTCCATAGTAGCCCTATGCCATTGATACCATTTATTCCAGACTTTATAAAATTCAGTGTCTTCTTTTTCCTTCAGCTCTTTTGTCAGCCTGTCCATTTCGGCACATTGTGTGATTTTATCTATTATTTCTTCTTCCGCTGGGGTTTTTTCCAATTTCCAATTTTTGGCATATGTTATTCTTGCTGCCGTTAAAATATGTATTAACAAGTATTTTATTTCTTTGGGGTAGAATTTTGTAAAGATTCCTAACAGGAAGGTTGGGATTTCTTATCTATTTGTAGTTTGGTGATTTGTTCTAGCCATTTCTTAATATTGGACCAAAATTTCTTTGCCCCCGGGCATGTCCACCATAGGTGGTAAAAGGTGCCTTGTGGATTCTTGCATTTCCAACATGCCAAACTGTTTTTCGGGTTTATTTTGGCCAATCTTGTAGATGACATATTGCCACCTGTAAAACATCTTTAGCTGGTTCTCCTTGTATGCCACCGCCAATGTTGTTTTTGTATTCATTTGCCAGAATTCTTCCCATCTCTCCAATTCTATTGAGTACTTAAAGTTTTGCATCCATTTGATCATCGTATTTTTAACTATTTTCTCCTCCATCTTATATCTCAACAGAAATTTGTAAATTTTACTAATTAATTTCTCTCCAGAATCTAATATAATTTTATCTAGTTCCTGTTTTTCTTTACATATTTCATACGTTTTTATGTATTCCTTATGTTTTGATTGTATCTGTGAGAAGGTCCACCAATCGATTTCTCTATTTAACTCTGTTTCCAATTGTTGTTTGGATTTCAGTTTTCCTTGATGGTCAATTAGGTCTTTATATCTAATTATATTTTTGGGTTCTGTTAGGTTTGGGTGTTTTAGCGCTTCTGAAGGTGAAAACCAAATCGGGATTTTTGTATATTGTTGTTTTTTAATTTTTAACCAAGTTAGTAATAGAGCATTTCTGAGTGTATGTCTTTTAAAGTAGGTGTGTGACTTGTATTTTTCCTCCCATAAAAAGGAATGCCAGCCCGTTTGTAAGTCATGGCCTTCAATAGTTAATATTCTGCTGTTATTCAACTCCATCCAATCTTTAACCCATACTAGTCCTGCCGCTTGGTAATAAAGTTCCCAATCCGGGAGTGCTGTTCCTCCTCTTTCCTTGGAGTCCTGGAGTAATTTTAATTTTATTCGTGGACGTTTCCCCTGCCATATAAATTTAGAAATGATCTTGTTTAAGCTCACAAAAAAGTTTTTTTCTAATTTAATTGGTGCAACCTGGAACAAATACAACAATTTTGGTAGTGTATTCATTTTGATAGTGGAGATTCTTCCCATAGGTGAGATTTGTTGCTTTTTCCAATTGTCCAGGTCTTTTTTTATCTGTGTTATTAGTTTGTCATAATTATTTTATTTTATAGAGGAGGTTCTTGGTGACAGCCAAATCCCTAAATATTTAATTTTATTAGTCACTTGAATTTGTATACTATTCTCCAATTCTATCTCCTGAGTTTTCGTCAGATTTTAACTAATAATTTTGATTTATTTCTATTTATCTTTAAACCAGCCACCTCTCCATAATCTTCTATTTTCTTAAGAAGTTTTGGTACTACTTCTAGTGGTTCTTCTGCTATAAGTACAAGATCATCGGCAAAAGCCTGGGTCTTTTATTCTTCTCGTCTCACTTTTAATCCTTTAATTTCTTGGTCCTCCCTAATTTTTTTTAACAAGATCTCCAAGGAAAGGATATACAGTAGAGGGGAAAGTGGACAGCCTTGTCTGACCCCTTTTGTTATGTCAAATTGGTCTGTCATATCATCATTCAAAATTACCTTCGCTGTTTGTTTCGTGTATATTTCTCCTATAATATTTTCCAGATTTGGTCCAAATTGCATACTCTTTAACTGTTCTTTTAGGAATTTCCAATTTAATTTATCGAATGCTTTTTGGGCATCAAGGAAAACCAGCGCAGATTGTTTCTCCGGGTGGGCTTCATAATATTCAAGTGCATTTATTATCACTCTCATATTGTTCTTAATTTGGCGGCCCGGTAGGAATCCATTTTGGTCCAAATGAATGTAGTTGTTCAATACTTTTTTAAGTCTTTCTGCTATAATTATGGCGAACACTTTGTAATCTGTGTTTAGTAAAGATATCGGTCTGTAATTCTGGATTAATTGGAGGTCAGTATCCTCTTTCGGTATGATGGTAATTATTGCTTCCGTCCAGATCCGTGGGATTTTTGCTTTCTCTAAGGCCTCGTTATATACCTCCAGCATGATCTCTCCTATTGTTTCTTGCACCGTCTTATATAATTCCCCCAGTAGTCCGTCAGGTCCCGGAGTTTTGTTATTTTTTAGTTTTTTCAGTGCTGTATCCAATTCCAACATAGTTATTGGTCTGTTTAAAATTTCTCTTTGCTCGTCTGCGATGTGAGGCATATCCGATCTTTGTATGTATTGTTTTATCTTTTCTACTTCTACTTCTTCTTGTTTGAATAAATTGGCATAGAATGTCTGGATGATTTCTTTTTTTCTCTTTCCTGCTATAATGGATTTCCCCATTTGAATCTCTAAGTTGGACTATCATTCTTTTATCTCTGTCCTTTTTCAATCTATAGGCCAGCCATCTTCCTGTTTTATTCGCAAATTTGAAGTAATTCTGCTTGGCCATCTTTATTTTCTGTGCTAGTTCTTTTTGGTTCATCAAATTTAAATTATGTTTTATTGTTTTCCACTCTTCCTTTGTCTTTTTATTCTGGGGGTATTGTTGGAGTTTATGTTCTATATTTTTTAAATCTTCCTGTAATTTATTTAGCTGTTGTTTTCTTTGTTCTTTTTTCCTGTATATGCTATATACGCTTTTTCCTCTATATAGTTATATACGCTTTTGCCGTGTCCCATGTATTCTGAATAGAGGTATCCTCTTTCTTGTTTGTTTTAAAGAACAAATTTAATTCTTTTTCTAGCATTTCTTTAAATTCTTTTTGTTTACAAATTCTTTGATTCATTGTCCATCTTCTGAACCTTTTGACTCCTTTCCAATTTACCAGTATTAGGTTATGGTCTGCCCATTGATTCACTTCTATCTCTATTTTATCCACCCCATTTCTGATATTCGTGGTCATCCAAGCCATGTCAATCCTGGACCAGGATTGGTGGGGGTGAGAGTAGAAGGTAAATTGGTTCTGATCTTCATGAGTTTCCCTCCAAACATCTCTCAAATTTAGTTCCATGGCCATATCAAAAAATTCTTTGGGAAGAGTCTCTTTTTTTCTCTTGTTCTTTTTAGTTGTTTTATAGTCCTTTTTCACATCTACTATCGCATTATAGTCACCAATTACGCAGATACCTTCGTATTCCAGCTCAACTATTTTATTATGTATGCCCTTAAAAAATTCATGTTGATTTTGGTTTGGTGCATATATATTACTACTAGCAGTATTTTCCTATTTTCCAATATTAATTCAGTCATGACTGTTCTGCCATCTTCATCTGCATATATTAATTTCGAAAGGATCCAATCTTTAACGTAAACCACCACTCCCCTATTCTTTTTTTAAGTCAAAGATGTATATAATTCCCTAGTTTGGAATTTTCTAAGATTTTTTGGTGTCTTTTTTTTATATGTACTTCCTGAAGACAAGTCACATCCGCTCCTATTTTTCGTAGTTTTGTAAAAATTTGGGATATTTTTTTTGGTGCATTCAAGCCGTTAATATTTACAGAAAAAAGTTTCAAGGCCTCTTCCATTGTCTAATGTAGCTGTTTTTTTTGTATGTCTTGTTTCCATCCGCGTTTTCGTCCTCGCATCTTCTCTCTCCTCTCTTTCTTTTTCTTGGTTTGTCCTTACGGTAGGAACAGATTATTATATCAAAGTGGATGGATAGGATAGCTACGTAAGACAGTTAATATCTGAATTAATTTGCAATTCAGGAGGAATTGTCTTACTTATTCACTGGGAATGAACCTGTATATCACTAGTAGGATTGCACTCTTTATTTCAAAGGCCATTTCAAAGAGAACACAATATTTAGATCAGAATGTAACTGTAAGAGTGATGAATTAATACAAACATGTTCTTTATATCTACTTATATATATATATATTAGTTTTATATTTCTGATATGCCGTAATCAAACAACTAGATCAATAAATATTCCATCCCATCCCGAATGTTGTACATAACAACTCTGATGTGTTACATATTCACAGTGTTTTCTTTAGGATTAACAAATCTGGGCTACAAAACTGGATAATCACTAAATGATTTTCTGTATTTCTTTTTGCCATCAGATGGCCTTCTGGATTTTTGCAGCCCATGCCTGTTTGCCTGTGGTTGCTATTGTGCTATAAATTGGATATATCTTGGTTCGAATGTAAAACAAAACAGAAAGTTCACCAGCAAAATGATGGTCACTGATGCCAAAAGGAGACCTGGAGAAGGTTAATGCACCGGTAGTCTTGCTTCTTCCGGCATTCAATTAATTTTTTCTGTCCACGCTCAGATCCATGGATCGTGAAAATTACAACACCAGCCACCCTGACTTTCTCCTCCTTGGCTTGTCCACTCGGCCAGAACAGGAGCACTTCCTTTTTGTTACCTTCCTCGTTCTGTATCTGCTGAACATGACTGGGAACCTGCTGATCATCTTTTTGATCCGTTCTGATGCCCGGCTCCTCCATGCACCTATGTATTTCTTTCTCAGTCACCTCTCCTTTGTGGAAGTCTGCTTCACCTCAACTACAATTCCCAAGATGCTGCACAATCTCCGCACAGGCTGCAAGAACATTGCTTTCACTAACTGCATGATCCAGATGTATTTCTTTCTGGCCTTTGCTATCACTGAAAACTTCCTGCTGGGCGCCATGGCACTGGATCGCTTTATGGCCATCTGCCTGCCATTACGCTATCCTGTGCTGATGAAACCACTGCAGTGTCATATCATGGTATTTGTGGCATGGTTGCTGGCCCACCTTCATGCCCTCTTGCATACTGTATTGATGTCCAGGCTTTCCTTCTGTGATCATCACGAGATACCTCATTTCTTCTGTGACTTCCAGCCTTTAGTGGTGATGGCCTGCTCTAATAAGAGCCTCAGTGAAATGTTGAGTTTCTTTGAAGGAGGAGCAATTATTATTGGCAACTTCATTCTCATTCTTGTCTCCTACATTCGCATTGTCCAAGTTGTGCTTCGGGTTCCTTCTGGCCAAGGTCGGAGCAAAGCCTTCCAAACCTGTGCTTCTCACCTGACTGTTGTGACCCTCTTCTATGGTTCCGCAATTGGGGTCTATTTCCGGCCACTCTCTTCCTATTCTGGGGACAAGGACAAGGTGGCTACTGTTATGTACACTGTGGTGACCCCCATGCTCAACCCCTTCATATATAGCCTAAGGAATGCAGACATGAAAGCTGCCCTCCACAGAGCACTGGATAAACTAAGAAATGCTTTGCAGAAGTCACAGACTATCAACAGCTGATGTCAAATATGGGGTGCCAGATCAAAAATAGAAGAAGTATAGTTCTTTGGAGAAGTTTATTTGATGCAGTGTCTTACACATTTAGCATGTTTTTTTTGATTCCTAAAGAACATTTTTATTTTTAACCCAGTATGTGAATCTTCACATTTTGGTTTTTTAAAAAAATGAACATACAGAGTTTATGTTCATCTTCCTCAGCTAAGTGCTCACCAGAATGTTGAACTACAACTCCCATCAAACAGTCAAACAGTGTAGATGGATATGGGTGATGGGAGCTGTAGTCCAACCCTCGGAGTGCTGGCTGTCTCAGAAACCTTGATAAAGTATCAAGTACCTGAAGACCTGGATCTGTCAACTTGCTTGGGGTGTGCATAGAGCATGTAACCTCAAAATTTGAAGGGCCACCCACCCCCCTTCATACTTTATTCTATTCTTGTATTAACTGCCTTCTAATGGGGTACAATATTAAATGGTTTTTATGTTTTTAACTGTGCCTAGAATTGCTCTGTGAGTGAAATTGGCAGTTTCTAAATTTGATGTGCAAAAATTAAATAAAGAACAGGTATACATGATGATCTGCATAAAAAAAGCAGTCCTTGTTTTGTCATTAACTGTAAATTTGTTAATCCAAAATAAATACTACCTGTGATTATATGATGGTCAAGCATGCTTTTGATTCCAGAATTAATAGAACAGATAACTGTTAAGAGGCAGTGTGGTGCAATGGCTAAATAATTGGACTAGACAGATCTTTGCTCATCTGTGAAGTTGTCTAGATGACTTTGGGCCAGAGATTCACTCTTTCCCCAGAATACCTCACCAATTAGGAGCCATGATACCTTGGTCATCTCACATCTGAATTACTGCAAAGCACCTGACGTAGGGTTGTCTTTGAAGACCACTCATCTTGTCCAGAAGGCAGTGATGCTGACAGTGATGGGCATGTTGCATTCTGTGCACATGTTCTCTGGTTGCCATTTGGCTTCTGAGGACGTTTCAAGGTGCTGGTTATTACTTATAAAGCCCTGCTTTGCATAGGGCCCGGTTATATTTGAAGGACCATCTATGTTTTCACCTATCTAGTCAGGTCAGCAAGAATGGCACACTCAAGATCTTGTCAATTAAGCAGTGTCATAGGACTTGGGAAGCATGTCTTCTAGGAGTTGGCTCAGAGATACTATGGAGTCCGCCTTCCTCAAAATGGGTATAATTAATAAAAATAAAATATGAGTGGAATGAAGGATAATAACCTGAACTCCTGTTGCCCATATACATTTCTTCTGAAAGAGACGTGAGGAAGAAACATGCAATAATAATGATCAATCTTAGGTCATTCAGTCAGTCACCAATCCATCTTTATAATTGACCTCACAAAACAGAAACTGTCAACAAAAATATATTTTACCATCTTATATTCTTATATTATTGCCAAAGTGGGCAAGCTAAACATTGTTCTGTTCAAACGGATCATTCTCTTCTCCAGGAATTGCACTACTGTTAAATTTCTAAGACCCAAGCATAAGATTACTACCATTTTATACTGCCTACTTATGTGATTTTCTATTACTGTTATTTTAATAATCTCTCTATATTGTTATTGCAAAGCAACTGACATTGACTAAAATACAAGATCAGATAATTTTAAAAGTACTTGGTTTTTATTTCTATTTGGGGAGATTAAGGCTGAAAAAATGTTAAATATATACCTAATGCTATAAGCCACCCAGAATCGCTTCAAAATGAGCTGGGTGACAAAAATAAATAAATAATATAAAATATAAAATAAAATCCGCTGTGGATCTATAAGAAAACTTGCCCAGTAGAAGAACAGCCTTATTAAGGCCAACTCAGAAACTCAAAAAGTATTATGCAAATGTGAAAATTGATCAGAACTCTGACTCCAACCTGGAAAACAATGTTGAAAAGCTTCCGAAGGTTGCATCAGCTGGAGAAAGCTTAGTCCAGACAAATGCATTGCAGTTTATCCTTGCAAACACTTAACCTTAAGAATCCAATCCCATGTACATGCTACTCAGAGATATGCCACACTTGAGTTTAATGAGACACATTCCCAGATAAGATTTTGACCTATGGATTTGGAAAGAAGCCATAAGAAGCTCCCTGAGACTGGAGTCTAACTAAAGATGCCCTCAGTTTATTCAGACTTACCGCATTTCATGAACTAAACTTACATTGCCCAATGTCCGGAGATGAAGTGGGCAAGAGCAATATCCATTACAAAGCAGGGAAGTTGAGACAGGGCCTTCCCATCCATTCTAGGCAGCCTTATTGCTCACAAGAGTTGCCATCCAGTCCTGGGGATTGGGAGATCAGGACCAAGCAACCCTCAGAACATCCAGGCCCTCAGGACATGTATCCACTTTTCTATTATGCACACATCTGGATTGAAAGTTCATCATAAAATGCACATATTCAAAACAGCTCCATTAAAAAAAAAAAGCATTCAAAACAGAACAAAAAAAAAAAACCAACCTTACAAGTTAAATTTATGGGCTATTGCAATCTCTTCATAGGTAGGAAAAAGTGGTGCTGAAGTCCGGGGTGATTACTTCCGATTGCATAGAGTCAATTTGTAAAGCACACTGAGCCTTAACAAAAGATCTCCAGCTAGTTGAAATAAAAAGCTTGAGCTTTTAATTAAAAATGCAAAACAAAAAGTTTGGCATACGTGTTTTTGTGTGTGTGTGTGTGTTTGTAAATTACCAAGTAGCAATTCTATCAAAGAAAAGATTGATCTTGCCTTTGCTCAATTTTTTTTTTCCTTCTCATTTTCGGCTTTCCTGGATGATAATCTGTCAAAATAATCGCAAAACTTGAAAGTTGTGCTAGTATTACTCAGAACATTGTTCAGGTTGTGCTCCTGTGCTCCCCACTCTTGTTGATGTTTTAAAAAATATCCACACAGGAAGAAACAATATCCATCTTTGTTTTAATTGTGGTAGAACTATTAGCGTTATTTTGGCTTCTGAAGAAACAAAACATTACTGTTGGTTGAAATTTATTGTTAATTTCCCTTTAAAATGGCAGTTTATTTTTTTATATTTATAAAATTCTTCAGAACTGAATTATTTCTTCTAATTTATGTTGTTAATGAACTCACTGGCCGTATCATTAGAATGCTTTTTCTGGCTCTTCAGCTTGCAAATGAATTGTGTGATTTAGCCTGTCTCTCCCATGCTGTTGCATACTGGCAAATTCAGCTACATTCTAAGGCTCTGAAACTTTTGGTCTTTCCTTCCTTGCTGTATCTCATGGCATATTAGAAAGAAGCATCCAAATCAGTTTTAAACATTGGAAATGTATATACAATCATCTTTGATAGCAAACATTGACATTCCTCATAGGAAACAGTTTGTGTAATCTAGCCTTGCTATTACCAATTATTTTCTTTTAAAAACCCTACAGGATTCTTTAGTTGATTCAATGTTCTTGACTTTCCATACCTAGGAAGGAAGGGATTCTCTAAATCTAAATCTTTTTGTTGTTCAAAGACATCCTTCAATCGCATCAACCTCTTACCAAAATGAAATTCTGCTTGATGGGACTATAGATAATTTTGAGAACTGTATTTTGGGACAATTTACCAAACACCAATAAATGAAGCAAACAAAATATGCAAGTTTTGCTCATATCCATCTACTTGCCCCAAGATCTCTCCTCTCCTCAAATGACATGTCATCAAAGAACGCAATCAACTCCGGGTAATTAAAAGCAAATGATTGTAAGGAAGCTGTTCTAATTGTCCACTTTGTAATGCAAAATTGTGTCAGGTTTATGTTTTCCTGTTGAAAGTGTTGAAAGTGTTGAAAAGGCAAGACATCTTGACAAAGTTCTCATAATTATGGTCAGATTACCTGCCCATTCCACAGAGAAAATAGCTTCCCATAAATACACTTTCTGACACATTCTCATTTCTTTCTTTGAACACATGATATTCCTCTCCAACTTTATTCCCACAATAATCGTGGACATAATGATAGGACCATCCCTAGTGTTGCCATATCAAGGCTTCAAATCTCCAGAAAGTCACTATATGATAGCAAAAATCTAAATGTATCCCTTTGCCTCCATCTAGCTGCATGTTGGAGTTTTGCAGCCCAAATGCACAATTGTATGCACCATCCAGGGAGTTTCTTAATCTCGTAATCCAAGAATTAAAGCAGACTGAAGTATCATAGGAGATCCCTGAAAAGAATAACGGAATAACAGAGTTGGAAAGGACCTTGGAGACGTTCTAGTCCAATTGCCGACTCGAGCAGGAGACCCTATACTACTTCAGACAGATGGTTGTCCAATATCTTCTTTAAAACCTCCAGTGATGGAGCTTCCACAAAGCCTGAGTTACAAAGATTTAGCCACAAAGAGATGTTTTTACAGAGAGTGGCATATTTTGATAAAGTAATCTGCAGCATACCCCAAGCTTTTACCATGCTGGGAAAGGTAAGCCAGCATGATCTGGTGATAAAACCAGGAAATGGAAATGGTGAGTTCTTGGCCTCCCTTGGGCATGAAAGCCATGAAATCTAACTTGGTGACTTGAAATCAGTCCCTCTCTCTTGATCCAACCCTCTTCACTAGATTGCTGTTGTGAGGAAAGGAGGAAGAGGAATGAGTATTAAGATGTTCATTGCCTTGAGTTATATGTGTGTGTATAAAAAGGTAGGATAAAAATACAACAACAACAACAACAACAACAACAACAACAACAACAACAATAGACATGACCGAGTTGCTAAATTAATCCATTGGTCATTATGTAAAAAATACACCTTACCTGTATCCAAAAACTCATGGAAAAAGTTTTTCCATAAAGTGGAAGAAGTTGTTGAAAATGAGATAGTGATCTAGTGGAACTTTCAAATGCAGACATCATTTGGAACACAACACGCCAGATATCACAGTTATCAAAAACCGAAGCGTACAATTTATTGATATTGCTGTACTAGGAGAGAACAGAGTCGAAGAAAAAGAACTGGAAA